TACCATATTTTTTAAAAAGAACAACAATTAAAAAGGAAAAAATATGCTTCCTTGCACAGACTTGTAAAGCACAGACTCTTGGAAGTAGGTAGCATGATAGATGCTCTCGTTAACACCATTCTCTTTGGTAAAGGATGACATCAAATGCTTGAGCATCTCGTCACCTATTCATGAATGCCATCCATTGTGCCATCAGTATTATGTTTCCAGCCAGCTGTGGTGGAACACACTTGTAATCCCAGCTCTTGGGGCTGAGGCAGAGGATTGCTGTAAGTTCAAGGGCAACCTAGGATACATAGTGATTTCAAGGCCAGCCAGAACTACATAGCAAGACCCTGTCTCAAAGAAAATAATTTCTCTTGATGTCATTTTATCTTCTTCTATTATTGGTATTTAACAACGTTTTTATGTGTACTACTTTCTCCGAGTTCTCTTTCATTTGTCCTACAAACTAACCTGTAAGCTTCAACTTTGGTTTTATCATATACAAGGACTGTGCAGGAGCACAGAAATGCAGCACTGAGTGAAGATATAGCTCAGTGAGAGAGTTGCATGTACGAGGCCCTGTTGTTCAACTCCCATCAACTCAAAAATGAAAATGAGGGAAAAAGAAAAACACCAAAAGCATCACTTTATGCTGACACTCTAGAAAATACTGTGTTGTAAATACAGAGGTTAACTGTCTTTTCTACTCCATTACTCTTTTTTTTTACATTTGTTTTCTTTTTCTCTTTTTATCAGTACCGGGGATCAAACTCATGACCGTCTGCTTGCAAGGCAGGTGCTTATGCCACTGAGCTAAATCCCCAGGCCCTCTACTCCATTATTCTGAACCAAATAGAAATTAGAGATATAAAAAGTGCTCTTTATTCTGTGTCAGAGTTTTTAACTTGGTTGATCTCCTGAAATGTATGTCTATTTTATTCTTTAATTGGCTTTTATGTACATGCTCATTTTCTGAGAAGTATCTATGTTTTTATTAGTTCTTCTGAGTTGTCAAAAAAGTGCCCTGGGCCATGTATTCTGCTTTATTTCTGTCTATCAGACCAAATCTGCAAGAGTGATTTTGTCTTTTCTGTAAATCAGTTGATCTTATGACTTCAGGATGCATCTTGAAACTTTTTTCAAGAGAACTTTGTAAACAAGCTCTAAACACAGCAGACTTTGAACTACCTGAACAATAAACACATTATAAAATTTCCTGTTTTGAAAAAAGAGGCATCTGAGAACATTACACAATATACTTAGCTACTCACATTTTAGTTACTCTTATTAATATCATTAATATTGTTTATCACTCCTTATTACTTTTCTGAAAACTCTGAATATGTCTCATATTAGATTTAGGGACAGTGTCCACAATATTAGCTGAGAAACCACTGCTACACATTTTTTAAAACTCCAAACATGGCTAAGAATAAATCTTATATTTAGAGCCTAGAATATAATTCAACAGAAATGTGAAGAAGAAATTGAAATTTCATTATTCAACAAGACTTTAGTATTTGTATACTTATGCCTGTATATGCATTATCAGGATATATATGTTTATTACAGTGTTGGGGTTTAATGTATTAAAATTCTTGGTTACACAGAAGAAAAAAAAATCATCTTCATTAACCAGAATTTCTTTTCTTATTCCCTTTTCTTTTCTTTCAAGGAAGGTTTTAAAATCTTCCTTCCTTCCTTCCTTCTTTCCTTCTTTCCTTTCATTCTTGAACTGTTCTTGCTCAATGATAATTGATAATCCTTGGAACCTAAATGAACCAAAGTGTTAACAAATCACCCATGCAGACCCCTCCCATAAACCAGCAGCAGCCATGCAGGCCAAGAGAACGGAGAAGCCACCCCGCTTCTTGAGAGCCGGAGGCAGCCATGTGGGCTGGAAGGAGAACCAAAAGGTCAAGCCCCTCTTGTCAGCCGGCTAGCATTAGGGTGGGAGACAACAAGCGCCCTCGCACATGCACCCATAAGCAACTGGTTGATTCACAGGAACACAGGCCAAGATGATAACTACTGAAGTAAACAAAACAAAACAAAAACTGTAATGCTTGTATTGTTTGATTAACTTTGCAGGCCTAAAGCCGGTAGTCTGAGCATCTAATTGGAGGATAAAAATACGCAATATAACAACTATAGAGGATTTCCTTTTGCCTTGTTTTTGAAATCCAATATAGTTCTCACTGTTTTGTTTGGTTCCATTTTATTGTTTTGTATGATTCCCTTTAAAATAAAAAGATTAAAAAATGTTAAAAAACCACTATGGTGTTTCCTTCTCGATAGGCCCACTGAATCCAAAACACATTCATTTAGTGACTTTTTTTTTTAACCCCATCTACAATGATTAAAAAAGGCAATTTGATTCCACAAGAAGAGAAAAGAAAAGAAAAGAAAAGAAAAAAAGATGGCCAGATTTGGGGAACTGTTTATCTTTTTTCTACTTAAACCCCTTGACACTTTGAGGAACACTCTGGCCCCTCCTCATGCTCACCCATAAACAACAGTTTCCAAGATGCAGGCTTTCCAGCAAGATCCCCTAAACTGCCAATCCACAACTTCATGTAAAGAAAAAATTGTTTTCAAGTGACAAAGCACTTAAATTCAAGAGTGACCATGAGCATGCAGGCGGATTGTGGATGTGCCCAGAGTCCCAGTTAGGAATGTCTGACAATTCCTGCCACTGGCTTAGTCAGTGCAGTTTAGTGGAGCCCAGCAATCCTGGGATTGCTTTCCTTCTTGAAGCCGCCTGCAGCTCAAAGAGGAGTTTGATTCCTGATGTACTCCCACTCCACTCAGAATCAAGAGATCAGTTTCCTCCAAGAATCATAGGTGTTTCTGAAGAACATATCTAGGAGGAAAGGTTGTCACAGAATTGCCAGCAGATGGAAACCCTCAGGGCTTGCAGGGACTAGAAGGATAGAGTCCAGATTTCGGGACTTTTGCTGGCTGTGGACCAGAGTCCAGCCGTTCTTGGCTTCCTGGGCAGCCCAAGGCACGCACGGGGAAACGAAAATAAAATATGACCTGGCAGAGACTCAGCTGGAAGCTGGAGACAGGTAAGTTGCATCTTCAGAAACTGACAACTTGTCCAGAACATGATGTGTGTGAAGATGATTTGGGGACAAAACAAAAGGAAGAGATGGAAATAGGAGGCGAGTAAGTGAAAAAAACAATAATTAGGCTGGGGAAGCTCCTGACACTAGCCAGCTCATAGTAATATGGGTTGTCTGTAGTGCAGATAGACCAGCCATGGGACCTTGGCCACTGCAGTGACTGTCCTGCAGGTATCCAGAGATTGATCAGTTCTCCCAGTTGCACCTCACTGACCCTTAGCATGTCCCAAGCCATCCCCAGAGCTAGTGTCTCAAATCTGTCCCCTGCCCTCAGTTGAATTGCAAGTCTACTCAGGTGACTGACTCTGGGAAGAATCCTCTGAATGAATAACCTTGATGTACCCATTTCTTCCCAGGTGCAATATCCATGGTTTCATCCTAGAGCCATAAGGTGGCTGAGCCAGCAGTGCTCAGCCTAGAACAAGCTGTGGGGCAAGGTTCTTAGAACCAGCATTCAGGTGCCGTGGCTGTGGTTTGGTCTCAGGACTATTATGGCAGGTTAGGTAGGAAACTTAGAGCTCTGCTGGACTAGATGGGGATGCTACAGCGAGGACGTGACCATGCAAGAGTAAACCAGGGAGTGAAGACTAGAAGCCAATCTAGTCTGAAGCCTCTCAGTCTAGTCACGGGGCTCCAGGACATGTGAATGGAGTAGCTGGTAACAGGACATTAGAGATCGGCATGCAAGAAGGGAGCACCCTAGGGGCTGCTTTCCCTTTTGGACTTCAGAAGGGAAATAAATTTAAAAATGTCAAGACGCTGTGAGGGACAAGCACAAACGGTGACAAACATGTTCAAACTGATTCATCATGAACAGGCACATTTTTTGGGTGGGGGTTGGAACTCTCCTCTGTCTCTTGAGATAGTGACCCCAGCTTAGAAGAATCCATGCCACCGCACCCCAATCAGGGCTTGCTTAACCAGGCAGAACTAGGAGTCTATTGCTTCCTACCTTTAGTGTGACTGGCACAATAAAGTTCAGCTCTTGGAACTTCAGTTTTATATTGGGTGAAATGAAAAAAGTGATACTACCTTCCTCACCTAACTTGAGAGCGATTGTCAAGATCAAAGGACACTGGGAGGTTGTTGTGCTTAGTAAACTGTAAGGTGATTAACATACGTGAAGCATTAGTGTGCTCTTGGCAGCCAGTCCTCACGTTTACAATGGGTGAATGAAAGCAGCCAGGCAAACTCTCAGGTTATAACCTTATAAGGCATAATTGGATTACGGGGTGGGGAGATAAAATGCTATCTCTTTCTAATTTTGGTTATTCCTGTATCTCCAAAGAGGCACATAAATACTAAAACTTCAGTTAACTACCCCCTCCAAATCCCAATTCTTACTGCAGCAGCTTCAAGATTTGCCCTTATTGTGAAATCTTATTAGCACATCTAGGAACCCCAGGTCCCGGCTGCTCTAGGGGGCTGGCGAGCCCCACGCTTGTCTGTACTGTACCTTTCCTCTGCAGTTCCATAGGAGTCTGAATCCAGGCTGGGACCAGTCATTGAACCGGCGGGCACGAGGCTCCATTTAAGGACCGCGCGGTCATCCCGACCCTTCTGACTCTTGCAGCGCTATCCCAGGAAGCCCCCCACTCTGGGGATGTATAAATTCTGCAATAAGCACCCCCACAAGCCGCGCAGGCGCTTCTTCCCTTTCTGTCCGAATCATATGCCAGAGAATAAAGGCTGCGGCAGTTCCTGCACCAATCTGGAGCTTGTCTCTGAGCCCTGCGGGCACAAGAGACCCTCCAATCCCACACCCACTGGAAAGCAATACGTGCACCCGCATGGAGGAGCGTGCGCGCGCGCCCGAGGAAAGGAAGGGCTAGAGGGCAGTCCAAGCCCCGCCCCCGTCCCCTGCGCTTCTATAAAGCGCAGGAACCAGAGCTGGCCGCGCTGAGTGGTTTCTTGGTGACACTAGGCAGAGCAGCTCTGGCCTTACCACTTCTGTCTTCTTACCACAGTCAATCTTGGACTTTGGGGTTTCGCCACTGACAGAAGGACGTCTGGGACTTTCTCCTCCAAGGACTTGGCGGATCACCCTTTCAGCAGGTAGGTGCACAGCGGGGGCGGGGGCGCTTTTCTGAAGCCGGAAACTGGGAGCGCTGGGTGAAGAGGACAGCCTACTTTGCGGGATCCTATTTGGGGTACACCCCACATCCCAGCCCAGCTCGTGCACACAAATGGGGCGGAACAGACCTAGTCCTCTCTGCTCCATGACCCAAGTCCCAGGGAGTTGAGCCGGAAACTCCTGGGAGATTGACGCTGTGCAGCGGCCGCCCCTGCGGGGCCTGTCACCCTCTGGGCGGCCGCGACGCTTCTGGCGCCTCTGTGCGCCCAAGGGAGATAAGCGTGGGAGCCTGGCGGAGCGCGGACAGAGGCAGCCCGCGCCGGGGCTCGCGCCTGCCTTCCGTGCCCCGCCCGGGCAGTGCAGCTTCTCTGGTGCAAATGCTCAACTCTTCTCGACTTTTCCAGGGTCTGTGCATCGCCGGAATGAAACTGGTTTCTGTCGCCCTGATGTTCCTGGGCTCTCTGGCCTTCCTGGGTACGGACGCCGCGCAGCTCGACGGGGCGTCTGAGACCCTAAAGAAGTGAGTTGGGCAGCTCTTTCCCTAGTCTCGCTACTGGCAGACAAGGGATAACCTGCCTGCCGGTCCCCAGGGGTTAAAAGTGATTGGGAGTGGAATCTTCCGGACGCACGCTGATCGGGTCTGCTTGTGTTTTTTAAGATGGAGTAAATGGACTGTCAGTCGTGGAAAGAGAGAACTGCCAGTGCCCAGCAGCAACTTCCCTGGGCTCGAAAACGCGAAGGCCGGGTCGGTCCAGAGGGCCCTTGGGCCACAGAACTTGGAGAGCCTCTCTCGCATTCGTCAGGCCAGGTAACTGAAGCAGGGGTCTGGGGTGTTGGGCTGAATCACAACTTAGTGGAAACACTTTCCGCTTCTCTCAGATCCTCCAATGGCTCTCCTTGGCTCCTGGCTCGAAAGCTGTGCCTGATAGGGGTCTCAAGTTGCATTCTTTTTCCTCCCCAGTGGTCCCAAGATCGTCCTCAACCGAGTCAAGCGTCACCGGCAGGGCTTCCGAAGCTTTGGTTGCCGATTCGGGACGTGCACAGTGCAGAAGCTGGCGCACCAGATCTACCAGCTCACAGACAAGGACAAGGACGGCGTCGCCCCTCGAAGCAAGATCAGCCCCCAGGGCTACGGCCGCCGACGTCGTCGTTCCCTGCTGGAAACCAGACAAGACCGGACTCTGGTGTCTTCCCAGCCACAGGCACGCGTGGCTTCTGGCTCCAAGGTGCACCGAGTGCTCGCCACCCTCCGGAGGATTTAGACTCCTAAGCTTCGGCTGCGGACCAGGCTGAGACTCAGTCCTGCAGGGATTTCAAGTCGAGGACGCATCATCTGGCCAGAGCCCTGGCTTTGCAGGACCACCTTCCCTTTGAGGATAATGGTTTCCTCACTCTGATCAGGAGCTGGGTCCCTCCTCCCTGGGGACGGGTTGGGGCGCAGGGCCCTCGGGGCGGGGGTCTGAGCCACTGCCTTGCCCATCCACAAACCCATTTCTCACGGGGTATCACCCCACCGGGGCGCAAGCCTCAATATTATTACTTGAACTTTCCAAAACCTAGAGAGGAAAAGTGCAATTTGTGTTGTACGTACATACAGAGTTAACTATCAGTATTTAAGTTTCTTGCTGTCAAGATTATTTTGTAACTTCAAATATATAGAGATATTTTTGTACGTTATATATTGCATTAAGGGCATTTTAGAGCAATTATATCCCCCTCTTATTTTAAGACGTGAATGTTTCAGCGAGGTGTAATATAGTTGTTTGGTTCGTGGAGTGCGTGCGTGTGTGTGTGTGTGTGTGTGTGTGTGTGTGTGTGTACAAAAGTGTACCTGATTACCGCCTGTGGAAGGGAACATTGTGTCTGTATAATCTATTTACATAAAGTGGGTGATATGTGAACAGCAAATAATGTCTCCTTACTGATTTATTCTCGCCTCAAGCATCCCGGGAGCGTTCTGAACCCAGTCTGCCCCAGCGTAGGAATCCCGCCGCCCATCTCTGGAAGGTGGGGTGACGGTCCAATCTGGGTGCGAGCTGGCTCAGCTGCGCGCGGGTTTAATAGTCGCGAGAGCTCTGCTTTTCATCGGGGGTGCGCACATCCCCAGTGCCCGGTGTGAGTAAGGGCTTCGCAGAGAGGCCGGAGGTCACTGCTTCGCGTGGCAGCCAGGCGGGGCTGGGAAGGGCGAGCCCAAGTGGGGTGGCGAGCCTGGACACCCGGAGTTGCGCAACGGCATCCAAGTTTTACGAAGCCACTCGAGGAACCCTGCGCCGTGATTGCGTGCTTCGGACAGGTCTGCCAGACTAACTAAAGGGGTTTACTGGGCCAGTCAAGTTTTAAATTTCGAAGCTACCCTAGCAATAATGTTTGGACCTGTTAGGCAACTCGGCAGCCAGTAACCTTAGCCTTAAAGCGCCCCACAAGCCGGCGGGCTCATAGTCTAGGCTGTGGTGCCCCCTGCCGGCAGCCGTGGATAGCCCCCCCCCCCCCCGCGCCCCGTCAGGGGCGGCGAGGCTGTACGTGCGGTTTAGGATTAATAAATTCTCCTACGTGGGAGTCAGCACACAACCTTAATGAAAGAGGAAAGGGAAAAAAAAAAACAGCTTGCAGATGCCAACCAGCTCCCCCACCCCCACCCCCACCCCGACCTGCGCGGCGGCTCGCTGTTCTGGGACAGTGACTCAGCGCCCACATGCTGCGCAGTGTGCAGCTGCTGGCCGGAGGCGGGCTGGACGGACGTGCCGCCGGAACCGTGCGCCTCCGACGGCCCGAGACCTTCATTGTTCCGTCTCCCCTTGCAGCTCTCCCCTTCCTTCCTCCTCCCCAAGGCTTTTACATTTTCGCCCCACTTTTCTCAGGCCTTCCTTTGCTCTCCCTCCTTCCTTCCTCCTCCTTGCTTTCTTTATGTCTTATCATCTTAGAAGGTTGCTCCGAGTTCCGCTGATAGATGCTAGACACTAAGTCCCGTTAGTGACAAGACGTGCAGGGCCACGTGAACAGGTAGGGAGGGTAAGCTGGGGGTTGGTTTTAATTTCCCTCCCCCATTTTGTCTCAGCCAGTATCTTGAAGACCCAAAGTGGAGGCAATTGCCAGTCCCTTCCAGAAAGTTTCCCTGTCCTTTGTTAGTTGATCTTAACAGCGTTGTGAGGTCTGCCAGAAGTGAGGGGCTGCAAGTGGGACAACAGAGGATCTCTTAGTAAACATTCAGGTGAAGGGAACTATAGCGCCAGGCACTGAAAAGTACAGGGCTTTTATGAATGAGGGAGTGACTAAAAGTTACAGTCAAGGAATTTCTGTATCAGGGTGCTCTGGGTGGGTAGCTGCTGACAGCGGTGGCACACTTTGGCCTTGCAAACAGTGGCTCAAGATTAAACACTCATTCTTTTCCTTGAGCTGAGGTTTACCCCCTAGCCACAGAGTCCTCCAGCCAAACCTCACCCTGGCAGAGCTTCAGCCACTGGACAAAGCTGCCAGAGGCAGGTTGGGCACTAGCTTAGGGCTGCTGTGAGCAGGGAACAAGGCATCCAGCCTTTTCTGCCCAGGAGTCTTATGACTTCAGGGAATCCAAAGCAAGTGAATCTGAAATGGTTCAGTTCTGAGAGGGAAGCAGCAGCTGCTCAGCTGGAGTCCTTCCCACCACCAATCCTGTGACTGCAGACCTTTCCGAGGAAACAGAGAGCCCCTATGACCAGTCTGGTAGTGTTTAGGGTTAACTGAAGGTCATCTTCAAATCCAAGACACTTCTTGGTAAACTGGCCATCAACTTGCCTTTTTTTTTTCCCCCCATACAGTGCTGAAGTTTATCAGGATAGGGCCTCTCAATGCCAATAACACATCATTTATCAACAATGATGAGTCATTTGTGAGCTGATTGGACCTGTCTACAGCTGAGAAGTAGTCACAGCCTTTATCTGCAGCTACTGTTGCTGGCTGTGGGAATGGTACCATGCATTTGTGATCAACCAAGGGTACCAGGCAATTTCTTGAAAAGTCAACAAGTTGTCTGAACAGCTAAGGGTGAAGGGGAGAGATGAGAAGGAATGCAAACTGATTCTTTTTTTAGCACTTGTTTGGTGTCAGATATTCTCCTAGCCACTTTCTGTACCTTATCTCATCTAGTTCTTACAGCAGCCTTGTGAAGTAGGTGCTATTATCTCTTTGTAGATAAGGAAACTGAACCTCAGAGACATAAAGAAACTTAACCAAGGTCACACAGTGAGTAGTAAGTGTTGGAAGCTGAATTTGCACCCACACGCTACAGGCTATTTTGATGCCATGAAGTCATAAGGAGTAAAGTGGGATAATTTTAACATTTAGATTCTCAAGCCAATTGTCCCCAGATGTCCTCTACTGCAGGGATGGTTTGGAACCTGTGGTTCTAAAAGATTTCCAGGAGGGTTGGTAGAACTGGAAAGGAGAGCTGCCTTAGCAGCAAGCTCAATGTGAGCAAAATAAAAATTGAAGTGAGTTTTAAATTCTTGGTCTAGGTTTGCAGCAGGGGTTATAAATCAGGAATAGCCTTTTCCCCCCTGAGCTAAGCCACTGACCTCTTTGGTTTGCATTGCCAAATATAATTAGAACGTACACCAAGGGCCTCAAGAGCTGGCTTCTTAGGGGAAGGCCTCCTGAGTTATTCCTGGCCCAATACTGTCTGGTAGGTCTGAAGTCGCCTAGAAGAACACCTGTGTCTACAAAGCTGCAAATAGAGTTTCCAGCCTTGAGGTGGGACCTTTTGTCTTGGCAACTGCTCCTCAAGGCAGCTTTTCAAAGGATGTTCTGAGCTGACTCTGGAAGTTTGTAGTGCTGCCCCTCCTGTCCTCAGAAGGAGAGGTCTTATTATCCAGCGACCCATAGAGGTTTCTGCCAAAGCTGGGTTGGAGACTTGGTCTTCATTTGCATGGGAAGAAGGGTGAGGCTAGATAGCTATCTGGTGGTCCCACTGGTCTTGTTCCAGAGCTATTTTGGAACATTCTGGAAAAACAATAAAATGACTGACCACACAGGGAGCTGATTTTAGTAGGTTATTGTACATTTATCCAATAGCAGGAATCTTTTCCTGTTCTGAATAGCAAGATAAATTTTTTAGAATGCAAAAATTGTAATATATCTTCAGAATGGAAAAAAAATTTCAACTTCAATATCATTTAATATCGTCCCCAGAGATAACTACTATAAATATTTTAATATGTACATTTTTATATATTTTAATATACACACATTTAAAAAAATGAAACAGGTGGGGACAACTGAATTAAACACACTCTTCAGTTTAAGAAAATTTGTCATTATCCATCTGTTCAAGGTTTCTTTCTTATTTAATGGTCTTATTGTTTCCTCCCATAATTTTCATACCTCTGTCTCAGTATGTATGATAGTTGTACTTATTCCATACATATTATCTTTTGAAATCCATTGTATTGTCTCACAATAACTTCTCTGTGTGTGTGTCTCTGTCTCTCCTTCTCTTCCTTTCCTTTTTTCTTATCCTGGTGATAGAATCCAGAGCCTTTACACTGAGCTATATCCTCAGGGTTTTTCACTTTTTACTTTGAGACAAATCCTCACTAAATCACTAAGTTGCCTAGACTGGGCTTGAACTTACGTTTCTGCCTCAGCCTCCCAAAATACTGGGATTACAGTCATGTACCACCATACTCGGCTACAACTTCATGTTTTTAATATACAAATCTGTTGTGTTAAAATTTTTATTGTTTCCTAATTTTCTCATTCATCCCCAAAATATCCTACCCACATTTTACTTTTCTTGTCTTTTAGTGGAAGACATTTGAGTCACCTCCAGCCTCCTTTGCCACCCCTCTGAGTGTAAATAAACTCCCAGTTTCTTATGAATTGGAATGAGAATTTCTTGGAGATGTATATCCACAAATTTCATCATTTAGCCATAAGACTTCTACATACATCTGATGCTGAATTGGCAACATTGGATTTTAGAATGCCGGTACCAGTTTGTATTCCCACCTATAAGAGTTCCCATATCCCTGTGTCCTCGCCAATCTTGTGTTTGTGATGGTTCATTTTATGTGTCAACTTGACTGAGCTAAGAGATACCCAAATGGCTGGTAAAGCATTATTTCTGGGCGTGTCTATGACGATGTTTCTCCGAGAAGATTAGTGTTTGAATCAGCAGACTTAATAAAGAAGACCTGCCTTCACCCATGTGGGCGGGCATCGCTCAATCTGTGGGGAGCTGGAATAGAACATAAAGGTGATTTCCCTCGTTCTTTTCAAGCAGGACATCTGCCTTTTCCTGCTTATAGACATTGGACTTCCCGGTTCTTAGACCTTCAGACTCTAAAACTTACATCATCAGCACCTGTCCCCACCCTTTCAGACTGGGAGTTACACCCTCTGCTTTCTGGGCTTTCAGGCCTTTGTATTCGCACTGAATTATAACCCTAGCTTTTCTGGTTTCCAGCTGCAGACAGTATACTGTATCTTCAGAATCTCAGCCTCCGTAATTACATGCGGCACCCCCCCACACACACACACATTAGTTCTGTTTCTCTGGAGAAGCCTGAAAATATATCATGGATCCTGTTTTTTGATGCTTGCAACTCTAATGCCATTTAGGCTTCAGGATGTAACACAATGGTAGAGTGCTTGCTTACCATACATGGGGCCTGGGGTTCAATTCCTAGCACCACAGACACACACGCAAAATTATCTGAAATTGTTTTTTACTGGAGATAAAATTTAAAGGACATAAAAAGAAAAATGAAACCAAGTACTATAATAAATACATAATATTATTTACATTTTCATGACTGATTACAAGTGACTTTTGGCATATCTCCATTTACTGCTGATGTGAATTATCCCTAATGAGACACACAATTGCAAACAACATTTTTATTTCCTATGCGGTATTTCATCAGATGCAAATATCATAA